GATACCACTTAAATAACTTTATAGACTCAATGCTTAGTACATGTGTACATTGTATATAGATATATAATTAGTTGAGCTAAATGTATGAAGACAGTATATTTATTTAGGAGTTTTTATGGTTAGGGATTTCTCCATTTCCAAAAACATGATTGCAATGATATCTTTTTTGATACTGATTTGCTAAAGATAGTGACACAGTTCCTTGATGGCAAAGAAAAGGTAGAAATCCTTTCATTACAGAGCACCTGTCTGTTGCAACCACTCTCTCTATTGATATGCTAGGGAAAAAGTCACCTCCTCCAGTAGATAGAATATTTATGAAGCTCTTTTCCATATGGTTGGAAAGAAACATATCCCAAATTAGCTTAATTCAGTGGCTACATTGACTCAATATTTTGTGTAGTCCAACCTCAATCATTATGGAGAACAACAGCATTACATTTAAAAGTATGGTGGGATGTTCAGATCCCTTAGAATAGACTCAAGCTCACTTATAGCCTTAGGAAGTGAAAGATTTCAAGTTTTATCACCCAAGACTAATCTGACTAAAATTATTAATGACTATAACTATATAACTATAATTTCCTCTGCAGCTATTTTCACTTTTATATGCTTTTTGAAAATTACATCACAACAAAAACTAACGGAGCTGCTGTTGCTGTTATTACCCAGCATTTAATCTGAAAATTCCTTCAAAGCTTCACATGCTCCATTTCACCACTGCAGCTTTTAACCTGGTTACCTTCTAGGTATTTGAAAACAAGTTTGCTACACGTTCTTACTGTTCAATGACAATGAAAAAGCTTGTGTCATTAGAGTCTTGTAGAAATTGCACATTTTCCCCTTGAAACTGAATTGTGGCTCTCAATACTACCCATCCCCAAATGTCACAATCTGTCATAGTTATGTTGAGCTGCCCTGTCATTGAAGGGATACGGAATTAAACTTGAGTTCTCTTTTTTAAGGAAAATACAGCTTCAAAATTTTTATTAATGACAAATGCCAACCAGAAAGGTAGATGCCAATAAAGATCTAATTTTGCAAAAGGGGGTACATTTCATAAAATGTATTATGCTTCCCAAGAATAAATTTATTGAATTGCTCCCAGCAAACTATGACTTTCTGTCAACTGTTCAAAAGTAGCTGCTTCCTTCCTCCTCTCACTCATGTCTATGTAACTACCTCTCCCTCTTCTAGTCTGGAGGGATGACTTTGAACTTGGGGGATGAAGATGCAGTTGGTGTATGTGTGCTAATTGCAGAGCAAGATTGGGCTAGAAAAAGGTACACTGACAAGCATTGCTTCAATTAGGGACGAGCAAATCTTATGACTATAAACCATGATATTGAATGGTATCATAAAAAAAGTTTTTGTCTTTTCTAAGAAAAATCACACTTACAATTTTCCAAGAAAATCTGACATTAGGTGCAGATGGAACTTTGAATGTTTCCAAGAAACACTGAAAGCAATTATGTTTACCAAAACAGTTGAGGCACGAAATTAGAAGATAGCTTCAAGTTTGGGAAGAGAATTAGGCTTCTTTTAACTTATTTGGCTTTGATTTTCCCCTTTCAAAATTAGACTCATGATAAGATTAAAATGAAAGAAAGATTTATCATCCTCACTGTTGACTTTTAATAATGTGAGTAGCATTAGAAGTAAATGTTTTTAAAAATGAATATTCAGTTATCTTAAATTATGAAACTACACTTAAGGAAAACATCATGTGAATTCACGATTTTTCCCCATTAGGTTTATTTAAAAAAAAAAAAACCAAACACCTAATAGGTATAAAAATATGATAGAGGCTTTTGCTCCCTCTGCTATTATATGAAAGTCTAAATTCAAATTAATGCTGGCAAAGTTAGTAATGACTAACTAGTTCACATATGTGCACGTACAAACGAGGTTTACATACTCAGTGAAACAGTGACTCAAGCAAACAAATTGTAAGAACAACTAGATAAGGAAAAACTTCAGTAGATAAGGCTATGGATTAGTATCAAATTGATATCAGTTAGATTTCCACCTCTGACACTATTGACAATGTTATCTTAAGCGTTTAACTTCTGATTTTTCTTTTGCAATAAAATAGTATCTGTATTATTAGTTATTTTAAGAAATAAATGGGAAAATAAATGCTTAATAAATTCATAGTAAATTCTCAGTGAATCTTAACTATACTTTTTGTTGATTATTATTATTGTAATTTACAGTGTAAAATCAATTATTTTATTTAAAAATTTATTTATTTAAAAGTGCTACAAAATCAGATCTGAGCTATAGGTTTTTAGTTTTAAATACACTCAAAATATGACAAACTAAACATAATTGATATGGAATATATTGGTGAGATGAAATACTCTATTTTAAGTTTTAAAGTTACTATTCTTAATATGATTTATATTATTGGACCTACCAAGCAATCTTACCTTGAATGACAGATATCAATTGTAAATATAATCTACTCATGTTGGGATGTATGCCCATAAAATTGGCCAACAAAAAATCTCCTAACTTTCATTACTCTATTTCCTCAGACCAATTGTGGAATTGAAAAATGCAGTAATTTATATCCATATACTTAGCAATGAATTTGGCAATGGTATATCCTTAATGATATTCTTTAAAATCAACTAGCCCATCCTGTAAGGTGTGAGATGGGAACTGGTGTGTTACATTTAAGACATAAGCTTTAGAATCAGAAAGATTTCAGATTTAATCTTTAATTAATAATTTACTAGCTGAATAATTTAGTTCAAGTTACTTATCTTTTCAACTTCACTTGTAAAATAGGTTATTAACAGTATGTAGTTCAGAAGATGATTGTTAATATTAAATGAGCCAATGCATGTTAAACATTTAGCATAGTCTGGCATCTTATGGATGTTGAATAAATAGTAATTATTATTTTCATAATTTTACTAATTTCATTGATTACATGGCTTGGTGGTTGTAATACTTTTCATTATTGCTTAGAATATGATTGTGGTCTGGTTGGCGTGGCTCAGTGGTTGAGCATTGACCTATATGAATCAGGAGGAACATGGGTTGATTCCCAGTCAGGGCATATGCCTCGGTTGCAGGCTCAGTTCCTAGTGAGGGGAAGGCAGAAGACAGCCAATCAATGATTCTTTCTCATCATTGATGTTTCCATCTTTCTCTCCCTCTCCTTACCTCTCTGAAATACACCCCCCCCCCCCACACACACACATACTTATATATATTTAAAAAATATGATTCTGATGGGATCATCAGTTCTATAACCTACAAGAGGCATGGTGCATAACATTCGTGCACTGGAAATGGGGGTGTCCCTCAGCCTGGCCTGTGCCCTCTTGTATTCCAGGACCCCTCGGGGGATCTCAGACTGCTGATTTAGGCCTGATCCCTGCAGTCAGACACCCTCTCGCAATCCAGGACTGCCTGCCTGCTCAGTGTGCATCATAGTGACCAGTTGTTCTGGCCGTTCCCCCTTAACAGTTGCTCAGGCTTTTGTATATATAGATGCCACATATATCATAGAACTGGCCATAAGGGTAATAAATTTAGAGTATGAGATTTTGCACCAAAGATCTATCTGTGAAAACAACTTGAGGAGCATGATTTGTTGAGAGAAGTAGGAAATACTATTTTTGTAAATGGATGAAAAAATTTACTGTCTATTGTCATTATTAGATGACTTTGGGGTTTAATTTGTATACCACAAACAATTAAAAATGCCTTACTTAGTTCTTTAGAGATAAATAATTCTCTATTTTATTTATAGTATTGTCTATATCAGATAATGGTTTGTGACTACAAGACTTCATTTACATATTTTTAAGATAAGAACTCATATGTTTTACTTAAAAAATAACTTAAATCCCCTTGAATTCCTTGATCAATCTGATTATTATAATTTTGAATTATTTGTTTTGTTAAGAAATGAATGCTCTTCAACTTTAGGAAAAGTCAAACTACCTTGTCTTTGGATGAATAAAACATTTTCAGGGAAATTTTGTTAAAATAATATATAGAACATTGACTTATGTAAATTTTAGGATTTAAGTAAGTGCATTACAGTTAATGACAATTTGCCACAATTTCAGCTGGAAAAACAGCAGTTTTAATGGCCACATCTTATATAATAAAAGGTTAATATGCAAATCGACCAAATGGTAGAAAAACTGGTTGCTATGATGCGCATTGACTCCCAGGGGGCAGAGGCTCAACAGAGGAGCTGACCCCTGGGGATCAGTGCACTCCCATAGGGGAGCACTGCTCAGCCAGAAGCCAGGCTCACTGCTGGCAAGTGCAGTGGCGGCAGCCTCTCCCACCTCCATGGCAGCGCTAAGGATGTCCGAATGGGGAGCAGGCCTAAGTCGTCAGTTGGCCATCCCCCTGAGGTCTCCTGGACTGAGAGAGGGCATAGGCCAGGCTTAGAGACCCCCCTAAATGCATGAATTTTGTACACTGGGCCTTTAGTTATATATAATGCATTAAAGAAATAAACAGAAAGTTGTTTTATATCTGGATAGCTTCCCTCTCTTTCTCTATCCCTCTCCCCTTTTCTCCATCTCTCTCTCACTACCTATCATCAATCTATCAATTAGTCATCTAACGTTTGTCTATTTACTCAGACTGTGAATAATGAGACAGACTCAAGGCAAAGATTGATGGTATTAAATATATATGTATTATTATTATTCCTTCTTCCTTCGTTTTTACAGATATAGGCATACATTGTAGAGTTTAAAATTCTGAATATTTGTTATTCTTTCAGAAAAATGTGGGAAGTAATGTTCCAATTATTCCCAGCACTTTATTTTATAAAAAACCTCTACTAATACTATATTTTCAGGAGCTGGACTATCCTGTGATATCTATATATCACAAAATTAACCCTTAACTCAAAGGGAAGTCATAAATTTATTATCAGAAGCCATATATGTATTAAGTGTTTTTGCACTCCTGTCATTTACCATGCTTTGTGGCTACTGGAATCTTTGTCTACTTACTGAATGGAGCTTTCAATGCGGGTGATAGTGAGGAAAGCAGCAAGGTTTGCTGTGTAAGATGAGATGACAATCAAAGCAAACAGCCACCAAGCACCCATCATCATTCTGGTAGCCAGTGTTGTGTATGGGACCTCCCCACCTGTGGAAAGAAGCAAAAAGAATAAGAGAACATCAACAAGTATTAACTGAGCATTCTGAGCTCATACACATTCAATATCAAGTTAATTCTTAAGTAGTGAAAAGTCTTTGCACATAACATCAGCATAGATTTTGGTATTCTGCTTATGTTCATTACTTCACATTTAATTATCTTTTATGAGACTATGTGGGATCCAGTAAAAAAGAAGCATGATAAACATTTAGTATAATGTGTTTAAATGATATTTCTTCCATCTTTTTGTTCAACCCTAGAATTAATTATCCTCTTTTTATAACCACAGATATACACCAGTTAGGTGATATAAATACTTTATGCTTCTGTTTAATATAACTTTTTCAGATTTCTAGTTCAATATGTAATATCGAATATTTGTTGTTGTTAAGTTCCCTAGGATCATAGGTTACCAATGATCTTGGGGTCACCTAAATTAGTATTGGCTTCAGCAGCATCACATATAAGTTGCTCTCCTAGTTTACTAGTTACTATTTATAATCTTGTAGAATCTTCCTCTCCATCTTCTAAATGTTGGAGTGCCTTTGGGATTCCTCTCTAGGTTGCATCTGTTCTCTGTCCACATATCCACCCCAACTAATCTCAAGTCTCCTAATTTTGAATATCATCACAGTATATTTTGATAACACTCAAGTTCCAGTCTATCTAGAAAGATATAGATAAATTAGAGGCCTGGGGCATGAAATTCGTGCATGGCAAGAGGGGTGTATGTGTCCTTCAGGCCAGCCTGCACCCTCTCCAATGCTGGTTCCCAACTGCTAGCCTGCCTGCCATTCTGATCACCTCCCAGCCACTGCCCTGCCAAGCCTGAATGCACCTAACTGCTCCCCTGCCAGCCCAATTGACCCTAACTGCCCTCCTCTGCTGGCCTGGTAATCCCTAACTGCCTTCCCCTGCCAGGCTGGTCGCATCCAACTGCCCTCCCCTACAGACCTGGTTCTACCCAACTGCCCTCCTCTGCCGGCCCAGTTAACCCTAATTGCCCTGTAGGCCTGATCACCCCCAACTGCCCCCCCTTGTAGGCCTGGTCTCTCCCAACTGCCCTCCCTTGCTGATCTGATTGCCCTCAACTTTCATCCCCCTGCTGGCCATCTTGTGGTGGCCATCTTGTGTCCACATGGGTGCAGCCATCTTGTGTGTTGGAGTGACAGTCAATTTGCATATTACTCTTTTATTAGATAGGATTCCAAATATCCATTGGAATCTAATGGATATTTCAAACATCACATTTAAAACGAAACACTTTATTTTCACTCCTAAATTCAGTCCACACTGTCTCAAGGAATAGCACCACCCTTCACTCTCTTGCTTAGACCAAATATTTTCAACGTTCCGTCCAGTAGCATGTCCAGTCACCTTTACCTTCAAACTACATACAAATCCTACCTCATCTCATCAATTCCATTTCTATCACCTTTCCTTTGACTATACTGCTAAACCATTTAAATGATTCACTGTTTACATCTTGAGCACTACCATTCCGAATTCTTTCACCATGGTGCACATTAAAAAAAAATGAAAGAAAGAGAGAGAGAAAGAGAGAGAGAGAGACCAGATTATTATGCGTTCAGAGATCATAATAATCTAGCCACTCTGTGTGTGTGTGTGTGTGTGTGTGTGTGTGTGTGTGTGTGTATTTTTTTTTAATTGAATTTATTGGGGTGACACTGGTTAACAAAATTATATAGGTTTCGGGTGCACAATTATACAACACATCATCTGTACATTGTATTGTATGCTGACTACCCCAAGTCAAGTCTCCTTCTATGCACTTTAAAAATGAGAATGTGATCACAATATTCCCCTGATCAAAACTTCCAGTGGATTGCCATCAGTCTTGAAAAAAAAAAAAAAGCCAAAATCTCTACCAAAGCATACCAGTGCCTATATGACTAATATAAGGTCAACTTTATTACATTATATCTTATTCCACTATCTTGATAACCTTTTTGCAATTTTTTCCTATGTTGATTTCTGTCATAGGACCATTGAACTTACAATGTTTTATGCCAGGAATTATCTTTTTTATATTAAAATGACTTTTCTCTTCAATTTATTGGAATTTCTGCTCAATAATACTCTTCTTTACCCGTACCCATACTTGCAATAGTGTGTTACCCCTACTTGCAATCTCCTTTTCGTTTATTTATTTTTTATTATTGTCTAAAGTTTTACATATGCCTCCTTTTTCCCTGATTGACCCCCCCCCCATTCCCAGCCATTCCCACCCCAGGCAAGCCCCCACCACCCCAGTGTCTGTGCCCATTGGTTATGCTAATATGCATGCATACAAGTCCTTTGGTTGCTCTCTAACCACCCCCCTCCACCCATCCCCCTTTCCATTTGTCTCTGGATCTATTTTTGTTCATCAGTTTATGTTGACCATTATATTTCACATATGAGTGAGATCATGTGCGATTTCTCTTTCTCCGACTGACTTATTTCACTTAGCATAATGCTCTCCAGTTCCATCCATGCTGTTGCAAATAATAAAAGTTCCTTCTTTTTTTGTAATGGCTTAGTATTCCATTGTGTAGATGTACCACAGTTTTTTAATCTACTCATCTGCTGATGGGCACTTAGGCTGTTTCCAAATCTTAGCTACTATAAATTGTGCTGTTATGAACATAGGGGTACATATATCCTTTCTGGTTTCTTAGCAATCTTCTTATCTTTAAAAATAATATCTCACCATATTTCATATATTTTTATTTATTTTTCTCCTTCATTATATTGTTTCTGATATAGGAACAGTTTCTGTTCCCTATCAGGTAGGTAAATATTTATTGAATTAATATATGTTTTGTATAAAATTAATAATACTTTAAAAAGTAACTAGGCTTATGTTAATACTAAAAATAAATCAAGGATATATAATACTAGATTTGCCTAGGTCCATCAATATGTGAATGACTTAAATGGATTCAATTAATTATAATATCAGGCAGATTTTTATGCAAATTATTATTTTTCACCCAGTAATATCTAAATTTTCAGTGTAGGTCAAATATATCCTTTGGCTATTTTCCTGATGTAATATACTCAGAACAGGATAACCTCTGATATCAGATACACATTTTTCAAAAGCAATTGTAATGTATTTCAGATATTTTCCTCTTTAAGGAAAATATTGAGCCAACTTTTAAAAGATAAAGCAAAAGAAAATATTTTTAAATCTACATGGCAACTTCCTGCATAAAATGACAATTAAAAAAATAATAAAATATGAACAAAATGATAGCTAAAAATGGAAAGATGTGTATAACAAAAATGGGACAAAAATTAATGACTGAAAAGGCTAATTGAAGGTTAGTTTCATAAAGTTGAACCTTTAACAGAGTTGATATCACTTATATGAAAGAATAATTGTTGAACTTTCTTCATCCATGGCATATATTCTGCACTTTGGGTAACTCAAATATTTTTGGAGAATCTAAATAAAATAATATTTTATTTGCTATCTGCACTTACAAATTAAATGCTAAAAGTAATGGGAGTCTTGACTTCCAATTTTTGTAATTCTGGATAATCCTACTGAGAGCAACTATATAGAAAAATTGAGCATGTAATGCATTTAAGAGCTGAAGAGGCAGTGAAAATTAAGAGACCAATATATCAAAGAAAAAAAAATAAACCTCATAAATGTGACCTTATATTTAGAACTACTTTTCCCTGAAGGATAAATGCCAATTTATCATGAAAATATCAAGAGACTGAGAAGCTGAGTAATGCTTTTGAAAGTCTTCAAAGGTTAAGTAGCTATAAAAATTAAGGCCCAGGGCTTGCCAAATGAGGATAAGACTAAGAAAATCAGATAATCTTCATGTGCTTAGAAATCGATAGTTGAAAGTCTATTAAGCCACTGATCAAAGAAAAGTCACAGAGAAATAAAATATTTTGAATATTATAATAATAAAAATACTCCATACCAAAACTCCACATTTAAATAGCTGATGGGATGCCACTAACTTTGTGTTTAGGGGAAATTCCTTGCCTATAATGTGTAAGAAAAGAAGGCTAAAAACCAATGATCTCATCAATTTTAAGTTTAAATCAATGACAACCTAAAAAACATAGAAGCAAGGAAAGAATAAATAAGAAAAGAATAAGCCCTAACCGGTTTGGCTCAGTGGATAGAGCATTGGCCTGCGGTCTGAAGGGTTCCAGGTTCCATTCTAGTCAAGGGCATGTACCTTGGTTGCAGGCATATCCTCAGTAGGGGGTGTGCAGGAGGCAGCTGAATGATGTTTCTCTCTCATTGATGTTTCTAACTCTTTCTTCCTCTCCCTTCCTCTCTGTAAAAAATCAATAAAATGTATATTTCTTAAAAAAGAAAATAATAAGGTAAGAACAAAAATCAATAAAATAGATAAAAAGTACAATAGAGAAGGTTAATCTAACAGCAGTTTGGTCACTTGAAAAGACCTTGAAAACTATTAATATGATCACAAAATTAGGTAAAGGCACAAAAAATAAATAATAGGAGGAAAAAGCGTACTTTGTGCAGATGTAATAGACATTGAAAGGATAAAAATAAGTTCTTAATAAAATTTTATGCCAATTAATTTGAAAATTGAGATGATATGGCCAAATTCCTAGAAAAGTTGCCACAAAAAGAAATAGAAAATTTAAATGATTTATAACTATTAAATATTTTTGAATTCATAATTTAAAATTACCCACCAAAATATTCAAGGCCTTACATGGAATAATATAACATGTTCTGATAAAATTCACTCTAATTTTACATGAGTTTTCTTGAATTAGAAAAAAGGCAAGGTAACTTTCCAAACATTTTATAGAAAAGGCACAACTTAGATAACAAAATTAGACAAGATCAAATCATAGAAAGGAAAATTACAGGCAAATATTTCATGACTATAGATACAAAAGACAACATAAATTAGCAAAGTGAAAATTGCAATAAATAAATAGCATATTGGATTTATTATCTGAAAGCAAGGGAT